GTCCAGATAGCAAAACGATGAATTTAGATCAGAAACAGAAGAATTAATCCAAAAGACTAGTTTTATCGAGGTACTAGGCGCTATTCGTGCTAGAATACAAATCTGTTCGATCCAGTAAAGGGGCGCGGTTTGGCTGAGCAAATTAGAAGCAAAGGAACGATAAGACTACGCCATGTGATATGACCTTACCGAAGTAGCAGAGATGTTATTCTTACTGGTGGTACCGCAAAGTATCAGTTTATCAGTAAACGCATGCAAAGGTTAATTTATACAACTAACTGATATTAATCTAAAAATGGCTACTCAAACACCGGATACTAATAACTGAAATAATTAAATAAATGTAGAAACAAAATCACTCACCACACGACAGAGGGTTTCTAGCAACTTCATCCAGGCGATCAGGCCGTTGATCTCCTGTGGCACAATCTGCAAATCAGCGCTGACGCCAGTGCCGCTGGCCGCAGTGACGGAAACGTTGGTAGCATCGACATACGACGAAGTAAGAATTCTGTGATACTGGTTGAGGGCGGAGAAGAAGTGTTCAAATGACAAGCTGCGCAACTTCAATCCTAAAGTATAGATCATGCCGCAACCAAAGTCAGAATTATTCACTAAACATCAACACGTCAGTTTTTGAACCAGATATTTTGAACAGTGAGAGAATCGACAAAAAATACAGAAACCTGATCACTGATGTGCAAGAATGCAACTGACAGTGTAAAACTTCGTGAAAACATAAATCAAGTTCCAAATCGAAAATTGCGGCAGATAGGGAGGTGCAATATCATTAAAGTTATTAAAAGCAGCCCTAGACGAGACTTTGAAGACAGTTATTTGGAAGAATCAAGGGCTGGACATAATTCGACACTACTCAAGCCACCTGTAGATTGCGGATGACATTCTGATTTTGTCATACTCACCTGAAGAACTCCAAAGAAGAATTCAAAAGCTGAATGACGCAAGCATCAAAATTGGACTGAAAATGAACCTGGAGAAGACTTGCGTCGTGTTTAAGAAATGCCTGACCGTACGACCTACAAAAGTGTAACGGGACTTAGGCTTCAAGAAACAGATAACTCTATCCATCTGGGACGGTTCAACTCTGCAATGGAGAATGCACTATGTGAAATCTATAGAAGAATAGAATTGACATGGAGCACTTATTGAAGTTTGAAAATATACTTATAGCTTCCCTTGTGCCAGCAATGGGAAATATTCGATCAGAGAATGCCCCCAGTGTTAATCTATGGGTGCGAAACGAGGACTCTAAGCCACAAATATGTTCATAAGTTGCAGACTACGCAACGCAGCAGTGAGGATGTATGTTGGAAATAACAAGGAAAGATGGGAAAAAGAATAAATGGGTAAGATGTCACTGCCTGAGTGAAGCTAAAATGGTGACAGCAGGACACGTTACAAGAACATAACTTCGCTGGACTAAATAAACGTTTATTAGATATAAAAAACAGTAAGCAGTCCTCCATAGTAATGCATGGCGCGCTTATAAAATTTGCTGGAAAAAAGTAGACAAGCGTTCTGACGGGGAAAATTTGTGGCAAGGTTTTAGAGGCCTTTGTCTAGCAGATCAAAAGAGGCTGACGATGTTGAAGGAACGTTATTGCAATTTTGTACAAAGGTAGGATACACAGGATGCCTAATTGCACCTGAATCTGCAATTTAAAACAAACATTTGTCGTAATATGGGTATACACTTCTGACTCATAAGCAAGCTCAACCCTATACTGCAAAAGGATGATATTTAATAAATACTTTGCTCGTATGACCGTTTATTCTTTATCGAAGAATGCGATACGGGGATACAACGAAGTTAACGGACGCCCAGTTTTACTGTTCATCTTGATTTAAGCTGATCATCCATAAATATGATTGTTTTGCATGTCTTCAATGCAGAAAGCAAGCAACTACTGAACCACCCATCTCCTGAGCCACTACCAGCCTAGGTTGGTATGATAATAATGATCGCGGATAATCACAACAATTAATTAATAACTGTAGCATGCTACTATACCGGACAGGCATTGTCCTCTATGGACCTCACAAACAAAGGTACAGTGATTTACACTACTTTAGGCAATAATGCCGATCTCGCAGTCATCACTTTAAATGTCGAATCCGTCAAGGATCCTTTTGTCGAATCCGTAGCACCCTGATCAGATGATTAAAGCCGTACACCGCATCCTCGCTCATTTAACCTACGACATGATCATTGAATATTTCTGCTAATGGTAATAGATCATATTGTCAGAGAGTGATCCGGCGTTTCTAGTCATGCGACATTGATTTTCTTGATCTTTTAAATTAGCTTGAGCAATTCGTTCATTGCCAGAAGTCTCCACATTTCAAAAGTTTGGCCTTAAATTACTCTATTACTTTAAAATCATAATGAAGCAGTTGATTCTCGATCGACACAAGTCAACGGCCAAAGCATCGACATCGTAACTGTATCCATCTTTTCAATACGCCAAAAATAAAATTTTAAAAATGTTAGCTTCATACTGTGTCATACAAATTATCATGCCATGATCTTATATTCTGCCCATATGTTTCTACAAATGACTGCTTCAGAAGAATAAAAACATTACAACACGGATCCGCTACTCCAAGATGGGAGGAAAGGGGGCCCAAATCTGCATTCGTTCCCTAAACAAACTGCAATGAATATTTTTATCATGCCGCTATCGCCTGAATTGTGAACGTAACTAAATGGCTAATGGATCGTGGCGAGTAATGCAGATAAGTAACGAAATAAAATTCTCTGTATTACGTGCAATGTCAATATCTGAAAAATTCTTACAAGTGGCCCTGTTCAAACATGCATTGTTGCTCAGTCGTCCTTCTGAACAGAAGATGATGAACGCTCATCAAACCACTGTCACCGTCGCATTACCTCAAATGCCAAGGGTTCAGTATTGGCACAATGTCTGATAGGTCTGCCTCAAACTCCAAAGGTATGGGCTCGATTACGCTCGAGCGTAATCTTCGTCTAATTCATGAATTAACCTGAGCAAAGAATTTACCGCACATTTCTTCCGACCGGAGTTGCTCAGTCGGAAGAACGCCGAACTTAGAACCGATAAGTCCTAAGTTCAAGCCCTGGTCGAGGTCACTCGCCCTTCCTCCCTCTGAGGTTAATGAATGAGCGTCACGCTGTGGGAAGGAATAAAAGACTACATGCTATGGTTGCCACATGTCTGTAGACTCTGACGTTGAAAAATAAAGCACCCCTACTTAGTGGCATAGAAACGGAAATTAACATCGCATCATCAACCTTCTGAAAAAATAGTACCAAAATGGGATAAGCCATGAAAGTGAAGCAAGAGAGACATTCCAACGGTGACAAACTTTTCTTTCCTTAATACAACAAAATTTTAGCGTTCTATTAATTTTACAATTGTAAAAATTATAACCATCTGATATAAAAAATTATTAAACGCCACATTACCAGTTGTACCAAATGTGCATAACAGACGGAAACAAGATATGGCCGATTTTTCATCACAAACC